TTTTTTTCTGTTTTTGCTATTGATTAAACCGCAGCAAACCCAAGACATCCATTAAGTTTTCTGTTTGCCTTTGATTCTGGACATCTTTAAAAAGAAAGATAGACCAAAGTTATTTTTTGCGAAATTGCTGCAAAATACCTCATCCAACAAGACAACCCAAAAAAACAGACCAGCGGCTCTCGGCAAAGTGTCTGATTTACCAGAAGAAAAATCACTCCCTTGCAGCTATTTCTCAGGGCTGTCATGATGACCAGCATTTATCCTCGCCCGATGATGGTACTTAAGAGTTCCTTTCTGAAAATGAGCATCTCTCGGGGGCGGGGCTCCTCCCATCAGTAAAGTGTGAATGGTAGAAAGAGAATAAACGTTTTAGAGCCCTCTTGCCCAGAATGGTCGTGACTGCAATAGAATGAATTTTCGCTGCCGCCACCCTGTAATTGGGAAACCTGCCGTCAGTAGCTACTAGTTCCAATTTTTTCTTTGTCCCTCTGCTGAATTGACCCTAAAAAGGTGTATTCTGGGATCCATTAGAGAGGGGTTGTTGAGTTCGTTTCTTGTTGTAGGTGTATAGTGGTAAATGTGTGTGAAAGAGGAATGATTACCGAGGTTCTTTTATGACTTTTTGTCGCAATATGGAAGCTATAAAATAGAATATTTCGATTAAGTGTCTTTTGCTTGGTTGAAATTGGTTAAGCTTCAATTTAGATACTTTCGCGCCAATTCTGGCGAACACATTCTAAGTTTTAGCTATATCAACTTAGAATGTTTATCTATAAACTTAGTATTACTTAATCTGTTAATTATATTGCTGTTTCCAATTCATTACGTGTTATCTTTTTAGTTTGCTTTGCTAAGCCTATTTCTAGCTGAGACTAGCAAAGCTTCCATACCTCATATCAAAACACATGTAGCATTTTTTTTCAGCGTGTTATTGCAATAAATATAATCTAAGAATCGCTATCATCTTGACTTTATTAAGTTTTACAAGTGTTTATTTATAATTACTTGAATATTATCTTTGGTAGATAACTAAAGCGTTGATCATAGATAACAGTTTATTGTTAGTAAAGCAAATAAAACATATTCCCTTGGATACTCATTGTATTAATATTTAGTCCAATGAAAATTCATCTCGTGTTTTGTAAATGTATAGATAGCTGTAAATGTATAGATGTTTTGGTATGGGGTTACGGGGGAACAGGGTTTACTCATTTAAAAAAGGGGAAACTCGTTTTGTGATTTACATTCGTTATTGGGAGCAAGTACTTCAGTATGTCTCGTTTTCGTTTATTTGTCTTGACGTAGAAGATTTAAATATTATAAATTGATAAATAAGATCATTTAGGTTGAAAGTTTTAATGGGCTTACTTCGTGACGGTCACATCATAAATGTGATCACGTGTTCTTCAATGAATTCAAAACTGATGATAGATTTGTACTTGTGGTTCTACATGTATAATTTAGATGCAATTTCAAATTTGATATTCAAGTATTAAGATTCTTCAAAATGTATTCAAAATTGTAAAAAAAAATTCTTTAATTATACGTGTTTTTTTAAATCAAGTACATTTTTGTTAACTTATCTACGTTATTATTTTGTTGATAAATATGTAATATTCACAAGAAAGTTTCTACAAAAAGCAAAAAATGACAACAGCGACATGCGTTTATCATGTGGCAATGACACACACATCACATGTATTTTAATACACTGCCTAAAATGCAATTCAATTTATTTTTTTAAAAAAAACAGTCCGCCCTTTAAAATTTTTGGGGAAATTATACCCTTTTTGGGGGGTTAAAAGAAAGGGGGTGAGGGTTTAAAATTTTTGCAATGCGCACGCACCCCCTCACGGATGCGAAAATCCTTTTTCAAAAATATGCAGAACTGGAAAATCATTCCCGCCTTTGAAATTCTCCCGAAAATTTTTTCCTCTTCACTTCCCCCGAAGGGGAAGTTTGAACCGGGACCTCCCCCATCTGCAAAATGCCCTACCACTGGGCATTTCACCCACGTGGGAACCTTTTTTCTTTGTGTTCCGTAGGAAAAGGATACAAAAATTCTTTTTTCTAGAAATATGCAAAAACGGGACAGATCCTTCCCCCCTTCGACCCCCCCCCTTTAAATTGGGTTCTTTGTTCCTGAGGGGGGTGTTTAAATTTATTTTTAAAACGTGATTATCTTAGGTTTGGCTGCTCCAATGACTGAAGGTTGATTTAACTCTGCTCGTACCCCCTTTTCGTCCTGGCCCAGCTTGCCCGTGAAGTTTTTTAGTAAGTTTTTTAATCTTGTTGCCAAAGAAGAATTTTGTGAGTCCGGGGCGAACCCCCCCCCCCTTCTATTCTTCAAGTCACCCCATCTATTCATCCCCAAAAAGCTGTTGGGTGACAAGTGCAGGTGGCCATGGGATCATTTTTGTTGTCCCCCGGAAAGGGGGACATCTGGCAATTTTCAAGGCTAAAAATGCCGGGGCTATAGGCATTCCCAAAAAGTTTTGAATAGGCAAACCCGTATGCAAGTCGATGCAAAAAAGGGTAGGGCTTGAGGCCCAGGTGTGGGTGAAAGAATGAGAGTTTTGGCGCCCCTTGGGTTCTAGACGGACGAGGAATTGTTTGTGTTTGCCGCGCAAATGGGAAACGAAAGTGGCCGGAGCGAGGGCAGACCAAAACCCGCCAATAGGGGAAGACGAGGGGCGTATGGGGACCCGCCCTGGTGTTTAAAAGGGGTTAATTTTGGACGGGGGGAAGGAAAAATTGAAAAAAGAGCGGGGGAAACTGGGAGGAGAAAGAGATTGGAAAAGATTTGAACGAACGGGGGGAAAAAAGGGTTGGGGATAGAGCCCTGGGGAGACGGACGGAGCCCGAATGGAAACAGACAACCATGGGGTAATCTGGAGATTTACCCGGAAAAGCAAAGGGGGTCGACGGGTGCCTGGCGGAATAAGGATTGACCTGGTGAAAAAAACTTTCCGCCCGGTTTGGCCTATTTAATAAACATTTTTAAAAAGATATGAAGCTATTTAAAAACTATTTAAATTTTGAATAGGCTGTAAAAAATTTTCTTGTGCACTAACACGCGACGTTAGTTTTACGTGGGGACATAAAACACACTCTTTTATTTCTATTTTTAAGGTTAAAGAAAGATTTTATAAACAATAAAAAGAAGAAGAAAAAAAAAATTATGGTCGTGAGATTTTTTCTGAAACCAAATATTTCTTTTTCAAATTTTTGTTTTGATGACTCAATATTTAAACCATCCAAATTTTAATATCGCATCCGTTCTTGAACACCAAAACTCTTTAAATCTTACTTGGAGGAATCTTTCTTGGTAGGAACATGTCCGTATTTCGAAGTTGTTCATCAAATAGTTTATTAGCGAGTTATTTATTCAATTCCTACAATTAGTTCACTCTCTCCCCATATATATACAACTTGTTCAAATTTTTTCAATCGTTAATAAAATACTTTCTATTCATCTACTCAAGTTCAGATATATTTTTTCATCTAGTAGTGGATGACATGTTACAACGCAAACAGCGTACACATACATCTATATAATAAAAATGTTTTACACCACTGTCACGCCTAAATTTAATATTTATACACCTAAAGTAAATACTTAATTTTAATGTTTATTTTCTATAATATTTGGATTATCTTAACTTAAGTTTTTAATATCTTAATGGCAGCAAAGGGCTAAGGTAAAGCTGAACCCATGTATCTCCTCAGTTTTCTAAAGACAGGAAGGAGATTGAGCTTCCTTGGGGGAAGCAGGTTCTCTGACATCATTCAACTTACAGTGGATGACACTTGACGTTAATACAGTTTTTTCAAATATTAGTTCAATAATATTAAAGTTTGTTTTTTAATTTTAAATTTAAACTGCGTTATTTCTGATGAACTAGCTGCAACAGATGGCGCAAGTATGTTTTTCTAACGAATTTCTTCTTGGCTTCAAATCCTTAATTTTTTATTAATTCGTTCAATTCAAATACATTTTTTCAAATTTGTAGTAGATGACACCTGATGTAAAAACAGTATTTTTAAATAATAATTCATTAATTAAATTTAATTAACTGAAATACAATTTTTCTTTGTTGACCTAATTCGGAATTGTAAGGGGCTAGTGAGGTTTGTTAATTGTAAAGGAAACTGAAATCCATTACAACTGTGAACTAATCTACTAAACAAGTAATATATAGAAGAAAAAAAATTGCTTAAGTCAATTCCAACTTAGGTCAACAAAGAAAATTTTATTTCAGTTACTTTTTATTAAATAATTGCAATTAATATAAATATGAATATACATATGACAGAATCACAATATTAAATGGCAAAATAGAAAGCGATTTTCTTTGCATATTTTCCTTTCTATATGTGGTGGACTACTATTTTGTTTGTTAATATTGTAGGATATCCCATTTGTAAAAGGTTAGATCATATCCTTTACCGAGGTTGGCAATTCTAATCAAAACAGTATTCCACATCAGCACCACCTAGCGTCCCTTTTAAAACGCCGACATCAACCTTTTTCGGCAGAAGCCCACTAACACTCGTCAGAGAAACGTCAGCGTCGCGCGTCAGCGCTGTTCGTCCGCGCCATAGGTGCCGGTAAGTCTTAGCCAAGCACCATAATGAGTCTTCTATTGTTTAATCTCAATTGCCTCTCTTAAAGTAATGTGATCTAACTTTCCTATTCTGGAATATGCCTATCCAACTTTCCTATTCTTTGAAATATTCCCTATGTAAATATTCCCTCTATAATTTTAATAAATTATTTAGTTTTCAACTAGTTTCTTTCTCTTATAAATATGTTGTCTATTTTATTTCAAAAATTAACTAATACACCTAAAAACCCCATCAATCTTGCGCCATAAAAACCCCGCTATCTGAAGCATCCCACCTTTTGGAAGATTTCGGTTGGATTCATTCATTAATTAAATTTTAATATTCCAATAAAGTAGTATAGTAAAAAGAAATCACATTCTCAGAAACTAGACCATCCCAGAGGGGATTCAAACCCACGACCTTTGGATTTGAAGTCCAAAGGGCTATCCATTGCGCTACAGGAATACAACGAGGGATTTTCTTTTTTTCAATATCGCGTTGGACTATTATTTTTGTTTTTTACTATTTCTTCAATAACTGAAAAATTAATGAATTGATATTTGAAAAAACTGTATTAACATCAAGTGTCATCGATGACAAGTTTTAAAAAATGTATTTGAACTTGAGTGGATGAATAAAAAGTATTTTGTTAACGATTCAAAATTTGAACAAGATATATATAAATAAATATATATATATAGGGAGAGTGTGAACTATAATAGAATAGGAATCGGAACATTTTCACGCAAAGAAGGGGAAAAAAAGTGGGAAGGGCTGAATATTTCATAAATACTATTGTAGAAATTAAATTTTTCAATTAATATTAATCAGTTAATATTTAAATTGAAATTATACATTTCAATTTTTTTTTCTATTCTTCTCATGACACGGATTATGTCATGAGGTTCTACAGTACTATTCAAATAAATTTTTCATTGTCAACAAATGATGTAACCGTTCATAATTCAAGAAGATAACTGTCATCCAAACGCGCCGCGTTCCTGCTAGTTGAGAGTTAATATAAATCACACATCCAAGTTTTTTTCGTTCTTCAAACTGGCATAGAAAATACAAGAGGGACAAAATAGATATCCATTTTTATTCGTTTTTCATGAAATTCAGTATAGAGATACCACTGCATGTTTACACTATAATGCCAACGGATGGCTGTTTAAATCACATGTATTACTAAAAAGTATTAGTAGCTTTAAGAGTTATTGAACTTTTTCGTGGGGGCTTTAAGTTATTTGTGTAATTTAAAATAACGTTATTATACGTAAAATTTTTACTAATGCTTCAAAAACAGGAAATGTAGAATTTGATTCATGGGCTTTAAAACAGTATAGAGGCAAGAGAGATGTATTTGGCAGCGGATTTTTTTTTCAGGGAAAGAAAATTGTTAATTCTTTTGGGAGAGTAAAATTTTCGAGTACATTATAAGCGCAATCCAATACTTTACTTTATCATAAAAATATAATTTTAAAACACTGTATCCTTCAAGCAAAATTTCAATTTTAAATTGAAAATTTCGCTTAAAAAAACTTAAAGGAAGAAAGAATGCATGTTCGCAGAAAAGTTATCCAAAAGTTTCAAGTTCCTTAAACGAAACAAAAGCTGCCTCCAGACAGTGGCACACACAAGGGTGGGGGGCGGTCCCGGGTCCAACTTCCCCCAAATCCCTTGATTTTTTTTCGATTGATTATAATCCTATGTATATAGTACGTAAAATTTAATTAAGTATTTATTATTTTCATTAATTTTATCAATTAATGATAATTATTTATTCAATAATTAATTATTTACTGCTTTTTGTTCCCGAAAATCAATAAAAACAAAAAATATGTTGGGTGGAGTATTGGAGCATGATACGAGAATGGACTGAAATATGTGATCATGGTCCTGAACGGGTTAAAAAAGGAATACAGGAAAAGATTGATACATTTGTATATATTAACTTAGGAGTGAAGCAATTAGATACTTTTAGGTAGACTACGTTCGGAATCGTGAAAAGCGCATAAATGGATATTTTCATGATATAAGTGTCACTCTAGATTAGAATACATATATGTAACAGTTTTAAAGACATTATAACGAAAAAAAATGGGTTTCACATAAATACATATTTGGCAAAATTAATCCTTAGTATCAAATCTTTTAAATTGTTTCTTATAAAAATGCTTCTATAATAATAATAATAATTTATATATATATATATATATATATATATATATATATATACAGCAAAGATCTCCAGAGAGTCTGAACTAGGATTTTTTTAAAAATTCACATAATTTTCAGAGTTACCCTAATCGAAATAATTAATGGCGTTTCTTTTCTTAAAATTTCTGTTGTAGTAAAAATATGGATAAATCCACTTCTAAGTTATGCTCAGTACCTAGAGTTCAGCTTCCTCTGCACAGAGATCTGAGCTTATATACAGGCAAAATATTATTATTATAATAGAAGCATTTTTTCATAAAAGGAGAATGTGTTTTGAAAATGGGTCATTCTACGTTCATTTTTGTCAAAAATTGTCAAATAACTTTTAAAAAAAATAATATTCTTAAAAAAATTTTATATACATTTTTTATCTAAGTGACGAAAATTCTTAAATATTACCCATTTATGAGCTTTTGTAAAATCAGGTTTCCAAACGTGTCGGATCCCTTTTCAATACCAATTTCCAAACTCTTTCCCAAAACAAACTAAGTGCGAAATAAATGATGTGGCTACGAGTGCCCAATTTAAAAAAAACATTTATTGATTTAAAGGGATGCAAAAAAAAGTTAAATTTTTCGCGCACGCCAGCCCCGTTTCCCCCAAACCTTCTGAGGAAATTTACTTTCCCCCCTTCGGGCGTTTTTTCCTCCCCTTTCCAACAGAGAAAAAAAGAAACTACCTTTTAAACCCCCTAGGGGCAGTCACCCTTCCCCTGGGTGACTAAGAAAGGCGCTCGCCCCCCCTCGGGGCAGTCACCCCCTTCCCCCTTTTGGGGGGTTCGCAACAGATACCTTAATTTAATTTCAGGATGTCTTTAGAAAAGCATGTGGATTACTCAGCGATATCTTGACGAAATATTCATGCATCTACTTTCTCCCTCATTAGAAGAAATCGAATTAAAACCACGATTCTACTAGAATCCAATCCAATCAAATGACAATTTTATAAAAGATAAAGAAATCAAATCCTTAACTTGTGTAATAATCGACTTCTTTCGCATCTCTCTTTCCGGATCCGATCATCTTCAAACTGAAAGAGCGGAAAAAATATAAGTTGTTTTTCTTTCACATCTTGACATAAATAAATCCTGATCAAAAGGAGCCTCAAGGAAAAAAAAAATAGAAGAAGAGAAGTGAAAAATAAATAAAATAAAATAAATCTGACACCGCATAAAATCCGGGAGGGGAGGTAATATCGAATAAATAAGCCATCAAAAAAGATGGCATGTTGCAAAGAAAGCAGTTCCAGGAACGTTCCACGCACCCCCTTTTTGTGTGACGAAAAAGTGTTTTCTAAATAAGTCATTTCAATCGTCATTTGATTCGATGATACCAACACCATTCATCGATGCCAACGCTGCAGAAGGGGAAAAAAAATGTTTTATTTCGTTTATTTATTTATTTTGAAATGGCAGCATCAAGGCTCTTTTCCTCTTTTGGCGCTCCATTGCATTTAAAAGAGAGAAAAAAAATAATTCTTTGTGTGTGAGAAGGCTTTCTATTTTTTTTTTTAAAAAAATATCGAAATATCATGGATAAAAGCCTATAAATTTTCTTTTCGTTTTAGAAAAATATTTCTTTTTGAAAAAAATTTTAACTTATGACAAAAATTTTTAACAGAAGAATTCAGCTATTTGAACCTAAAAATGTGTTTTGAGACTTTTTTTCCATGTCGAATCTTTTAGGAGTTTTTTGGGACCCTTAAGGATTAAAAGTTACAATGTTGAAGTTTAAATGTTTCCCTAAAATTTTTTCCAAAGTTTTTTTTCCCCCTTTTTAGAAATTATCTAACAAAAAAAAAGTGGATACTAACAAAGACAAAATAAAGATTTTCCTATTTATTCTTATTTTCCTTAACTCTGTTTGATGATAGAATACTACAATAAATAGTATCGGAAGCAAATCTATTGCAACATATTGTGTGTGTGTGTTGTGTAGCGTCTGCTCTTAGATGACTGCTACTACCCTTTTTAATTCTCTCACACCCTGAGTCGAACAGTCACATCATAAAGCATACTCTTCCAAACGAAATATGGTTGAGACACTTGTTTCTACAGCTGTTCCCTCTAACATGTGACCATGCTACATAGGTATGCAAGGAAGTATAGGCTACTGTGATGATGGAATGCCATGAATTGTATTCTCAGTGTCGAAGTGACAGGTCAGTTTATAGACTATCATATGATTTTCGATACATGGCAACAAAAAGATCCCAGTCCACACTGGCTTTTGTCTCGGAAAAACCAAAGATGGCTAAGACCAAGACAGAGTGTGTCGGGTGCAGACCTGAGTTCTTTCCAATCAGAAATAGTGGGGGGCGTGAGAGAGGTCCCCCCAGGGGTGGCAGCAGGAAGACCAGTGACAGGCTCGGTGATCGGATTTGGATTTCAGCGACAAAGCAGCGAAATATAGATAATTGCGAGTTCCGAGAAAGGGAGCTCATCTGAAGTTGTGAAAGATGTACTAAAATTTTTTCACTATTCGGTGGAGTGTGGTCATAACGATATTCAATCGACGACTTATGTTTAGTATATGATGTGCAAGAGATATGTGCTATAGATCCAATAGATCGTACGCAAATTCTGCATTATATAACTTTTAGTAAGTAACTAAAGTTTCTAATTAACTTTTTTCCAAAGCGTGATTCCCGGAATTTTTGGGAATTTTGGAAAATCCGGGGGCAAAAATATTCCCAAATTTTGTTACTGATGGGAGAAAAAGTATACAAGATTATGAACTATCGAGTTTACATCCCCAAAACAAAACGCCCCCAACAAGGATTCGAAGAAAATGTACATTTCTAACCCTTTTTCCGACCCCATTACCAAAAAGTTTTAAAAAAATCGTGTGAGGGAAATCTTTCGTGACAAAAATTTTTATTCCCAAAAAAACCCCAACTTTTCCTCCTGTTTTGGAAACTTCAATTGAAATTAATTATTGCGTTTTCTGACTCTCTTTATCAATTGAAACCGACGATTTCCTTTCATGGAACGAGGAAAAATTTAGCATCGAGGAAAACGGAGAACTAGCATGTGTTTATTATCGTGTTATGCATTTATGAGATGAATATGGAACGATATGCTGCACTAATGGAGAGTGTATTTGTGTGTGATCACAACAAACCACTCACAGTGAACAGTTTGCGTGAGTAAAGAATTAACAGAAATGGAATTGGCGAGTGATATTTGAAGTTTTTAAACAATGATTGAGGGAAAACACGTAAGGATTCTATCAACCTGGGTAAAG